CTGTGCGGCGTCCAGGCCAAGGCAGGCCAGGACAAGCCTTTTGTAAGCTTAGTGCTAGGAGTTGCTCGATGATATGGCTCCACCAAGATCAGTAGCAGTGGATCATGACCTCAAGTCGCATGGCCGGGGCACTCGGTTGGCTCTAGCCGGTCCATGGAAGGCGCCTCTTACGTGCTAAAGGGGGATGACCATGATGAGAGGCGACTAGGCACCGATGAGAAGGGACTCCTGTATGCCAATGATGATGGGCACCTATGTGCCACGTTGATAGGCAACCGCTGGGCCGGAACACACCCGTGCGCTATGGGCAACGAGATAGCTCATTTAGCTTGGACAAGGGGCTGGCGTGGTGAAGGGTCATACTTGAGCCAGGCCCACATGCCAAGCCTCCCTTGAGTGTCGATAACGCAATGCCAGTCCATGCACTGTCCCCATGAGCATGTGTGTGCCCATGAGGAACCCTGGTAGCCATGCTAGCCATTAACCAGGGCCGCCCCACAAGGGATGAAGGTCTAGGAGTGCCAAGGTTAGGCACCCAAGGAGGTCAACCACCCATCCTCAAAGAGTACATTAAGCTTTTGGTGGTCTGCCTGAAGATAACATCACTTTTCCCAAAAATCTTACAGGCAAAAATGATGGTRATGTCCCTTAACGTAAGCCTGCCAAGCATAGGCAAGGCTAAGCCTGTGACAGGCTCCCCCACTCAATCCATTGTCGTCCTCGACAATGGTCTTTCTGTGAATGGGCGTCTGTGTCCCACACCATCCACTTGTCTGTCAGTTCCTGGGCTCGCCTGGCCAACCCGGGTCTCACCTATATTGGTGTCCATTTATGAGGATAGAACCATTTCACCATGCCGGCCTACATGGACTTCACCCCCTGTGTTGAGGTTACTCAAACCGCATAATGGCTATGCCAGTGAAATGTGTGAGAAGGGCCCTCAAAGAAATTGTGTGTGATGCTTCGTGGAGGTCCGCTCCATGTATCATCTTTACCTCAAAGCTCGATCGTCTTCTTGGTAGCTTTTCGGTGGTGCTACCAAACACGTTGTGATAGGTCTACTCCTGCTGTTGGCGGTGTGTCCTAGGTGTACCCTTTCACCATGCTGGCCTGCGGACTTCACCTCGCCGTGTGCGGGTTACTCAAACCTAGTCATGGCTTATGCTCTGTTGGCCCTCGAAACTACACTTCACCTCGCCAGTTCGTGCTACATCTTCGCTCTGAGGGGCCCCCAACGTGTTGTTGCTGTCCAAGGAGATCTGACCGCTTTGTGTGCGAGTAGTGGCAACTTTTACCCATGATGTTGCCGAACATGCACTCGCCTTGTGATGAGCTGTTGCTGCTGCAAGTGTTCTGCCTATTTGTTGAACTGAGCTTGTCCTCCGATGCTTTGCCGGTGTAGGGCCACCATACTCCAACAACTAGTGTACCCACATTCCTATCATTCTAATATTGTGGCTTAAACCGATGACCCATCTGATGCAAAACTGTCACTTCAGTGATATTCATTGACCAACCGTCGACACCAACCAATTTCGGACTCCTGTCCTCGCCTTAGTAGTGCCTTAGACAAAGCTACGAAACAATGGCCCATCCGTCATGAAACCAAGATGTAGGCGCACCGCCCACAACTCACTAAAATGAACAACAACTGATGTCCGTGAGGAAGCATGGCACTCCCCACTCAAACCACCACAATATGCCTTCCACGAAAAGGCTCACGCATCTGTCCCCACATGAGCACAACAACCAATGTGTCCGCCCTCGCAAGGGTGCTGTTTTGGGGTCATTGGAATGGGGACATGAAGAATGGCCTCTTACCAGGCCTGATGTGATTTTCTTGCTTGAACCCAGGTGGAAGTGCTTAGGGACCTCACCCCACAACGTGCTGCTTGTTGAGATGACCGCTTCAACTGGCTTTGTGCTAATCTGTTGTGATACCAACCGCGACAGCAGTTGGCTAGCTCGCTCTGATACCAACTGTCACGGGGATAGTTCTATAGCAGAAGAAACCCGTGTGGCGTTCAGGCCAAGGCAGGCCAGGACAAGCCTTTTGTAAGCTTAGGGCTAGGAGTTGCCCGATGAGATGGCTCCACCAAGATCAGTAGCACTGGATCATGACCTCAAGTCGCATGGCCGAGGAACTTGGCTGGCTCTGGCCGATCCATGGGAGGCGCCTCTTATGTGCTAAAGGGGGACGGCCATGATGAGAGGCAACTAGGCGCCGATGAGAAGGGACTCCTGTATGCCGATGATGATGGGCACCTGTGTGCCATGTTGATAGGCAACCGCTGGGCCGGAACACACCCGTGTGCTATGGGCAACGGGATAGCTCATTCAGCTTGGGCAAGGGGCTGGCGTGGTGAAGGGTCATACTTGAGCCAGGCCCGCATGCCAAACCTCCCTTAAGTGTTGGTAGCGTAGTGCCGGTCCATGCACTGTCCCCATGAGCATGTGTGCGCCCATGAGAAACCCTGGTAGCCATGCTAGCCATTAACTAGGGCCGCCCCGCAAGGGATGAAGGTCTAGGAGTGCCAAGGTTAGGCACCCAAGGAGGTCGACCACCCATCCTCAAAGAGTGCATTAAGCTTTTGGTGGTCTACCTAAAAATAATATCACTTTTCCCAAAAATCTTACAGGTGAAAATGACGGTGATGTCCCTTAATGTAAGTCTGCCAAGCGTAGGCAAGGCTAAGCCTGTGTCAGACTGTGGCAGGATGACATGTCATACAATTAATTAAGTACATCATCTCTTAGCATGCTACGTGGCAACTAGCGAGTGACAAGTGATGCCACCGACTACGGCTGAGATTTCTCCAAATTTGTAGGGACGGACGGAGGCATATTATCGGGTGAGGGGCGAAGTTTCTAGCCTTCTAGGGTTCGTACACAATAGTGGTGTAAATCAGGTCGTGCCGCTCGCGGCCCAACACGACACGACAACCCACGGGCCGTGCCGGGCTCAACACGATGGTCCATGTTGTGCTGGGCCTAGGGTTCAAAGTCCACGGGATGTGCCAGGACGACCTCCAAATTTTTCATCTGAGAGAGTGGCATGGCTCGTGACAGCCTGCGAGCCAGCACATCATGGCTTGCACTTTGCGTAGGCTGCCTGTGGTCCATGCCGTGCCGGCCCTACACAACCCACTTTACACCTCTAGTATGCGGCTTGGAAGGAATGTTGCTTTACCAAAACTCTCGACCAATGAAAAAACGACACATACGTGTTGAGAGGCTGCTGTATGTTGATTGTTGTTATTTCACCATTGTGGACTCTTACGGACTGTGAATAAGGATAATATTTTCTAAGGAAAACATTTAATTTGGACCAGATTAGGTCCAATCCAGTCCATTTGCATTTCAATTGGACTGGACTGGATCCGGTTTGTATGAGGTTTGGACCGGATTTGGTCCAGTCATTTGTAAATGGACCAACTGGACCGGATTGGACCAAATCCGGTCTAATTGACAGCCCTAGCTGGGAGGTTGGTTTGATGAAAAGACAAGAGGAGGCCGGAAATGGACCTGTCGTTGCTCAGTCGTCTTCTAATTTCTCAAGGAGTTAGATTCCGGTGGCAGCGGGGGGAGGACACCCAAATGGGTGGAATTATGGAGTGAGAGGTATATCGAGATCTCTTGACTAATATTACGAACAAAATTGCCGAGATGGTTAGAAGGGTACTTGGAGTGGACCGGATCGGTTTTGAGAGAAGGCGGGTGGGACGAGTTGGACGTCGAGGAAATAGTACAGGTGGAAAGACCTCGAAGGAGATGTATTGCTAGACGGCCAAGAAGTTCTGTCTTGCTTCACCACCTCGTCATGCTCTCCGATAATGAACCTGCTTTAGCTCGTCTTGCTCTCCGACGAAGACAGGGCTCTCTCTGTGAATGGAGGGAGCCTCGGCCGGAACCACTGTCACGACTCACGACCACCACCACCTTCGTCTATGCAAAGACAGGGTTACGGTGAAGACGTTCTGCTTTGTCGTCCATTCGGTTGTCATCTGCCTTTCTGAGCTGGGAATCCATAAAAGGCAAGCTACGTTCACCCGGCGTGAAGACGGAGTCACCGAGTCCACCCTGCTTTCCCGTTCACTAAATCTTCGGAGTCCACCTTGCGTGAAGACGATTCCCTTGTGTCACTGAACTCTACAGGGGATTTGGCGAGAAATCACCAATCGTCGCCGCTTAGCAAGTTGCGTTCCTCTACCTGTCGCAAGGATCAAGTGGATCTCTGGGTCTCTGATTCGGCAAGTGTGAGTTGCGATATTTGAGGAAAGATGGATGGAATTTAATGGAAGAGTAAAATTAATATTTCATAGTAGTGGAAGAAAATAATTAAATAGTAAGGGTATAGTTAATTAACTAAACAATAGAATTAGTTTAAGAAATGTGTCCAAAAGAAAAAAAAAATAGATGAGTATTTTGATAATTTAACGTATTTTCTCATCTAACTTTACGGTGAAGGGTATTTGTGCATCATAATTTTAAAAATCAAACCGAATCAAACGGTCAAACCATTTTAACCCAAGAACCGGTAATGACTTCAGATCTGGTTTTGGACCCAAAGACCATTTGACCAGGGTTTGAACTGTTTGACCCAAGAACCGGTGGTCAAAGCAGTTGCATTTTCGGTTCAGTTTTTAAAACCATGTTTGTTGTGCATTGTTCATTCTATATGATACCAGAATGAACTGTGACGGCAAAAGGATTTAATTTGGTCTCGGTTTCAGGGCTCTAAAGAGGACCTTGGAAACCACAATGCCTTTCTTGTCATCCTACATTGAGAGATTTGACCCTACCCCTTTTAAGATTGGTCTATGATGAATCATGATGCTGCCTTCCTAACCTCTCTTAGAGCTGGCTAGGTTATGCAACAAGGAACTGACATTCTCAGAGCCAAGAACAAGAGATGTTCCAATTCAAAATCGGAGATGCAAACCCAAGCCGAAAAGGTTAATATTGGAAGTAACAGAGAACATTAAACCGCTCTGCAAGACTTAGAGAAATATAGCCAATTACGTATTTCACATGAGGATCGTACAACTAACTTTAATCCTCAAGATCTAATAATAAGAAAAGGATCCCAATTTAGACGTCTCACCATATTCTCACTGTTTGTTATTCAATGCAATAAATAATAACTCAAATAACACCATCAATTTTGATATATGGAACAATTAAAGCAATAATGTACTCTGATGAGATGCTGACTGATTGCAGATTTGCCACAAACAAGCTTGTAGGCCCTCTAGATTTGGTGCTCCTGATCCTGGTCCTTCGTACTTGTGCTGCTAACACACTGAGGGACACTAGACAAGTCCCTTGCCGGTGAATATTTTCCTTCAAAATTAAGATTTGCATGGTGAAACCTGAAATCGCAAAAGAATCTGCAAATGTATAACAGAATGAGGAACCCTCCAGAATTTGGGGGGAAGAGCATACCTAGATCGTCTTCCTTCTTTTAGTAAACTTAAAAAGCAAGCACAAAATCATGCATTTTTTATTGATTGACAAGTCATGCACTTGAGGGCATCTAGAATTCTTGTATCTTTGAGCACATGCACAGCTGCTGAAACCCAACGCTTGCAACTGTATAAACCAAAATATGTATCTCAGAAATGTTGGATAAGAGTATGCCATACACATAATGCTGATGATCTGGGTGGTCCCTCTTTGATAGGCTCCATATATATCCTACCCCAACATCATGACTGTGATTGCTTCCTATTTTTAATCAAGGTTGATTTTGATGATAGTTCTTAAGATACTAGTGGGGATCCAGGTAATTCATGCATGGGTTGACACTGCTAACCGTGTAATGTGATTTTTAGCACTTGTCCTTGCTAACTGCATGATTGTGCCAAATGGCCCTTCCAAGAATTTCTTTATAATTACTATTAAAAGTATTGTACCATCCATTACCTCCATTATATCCCTCTTTTTCATTACAATAAAGTTTTAGCAGAAATAGATGAAAATGAAACTTACAGGGAATAAGTCACTGGATAAATTTGGGTAGCTTCAGCTCTCAAGAGATGAAAACAACCGATGCCTTTCATCATGACAAACTATTCTTCAGCACTCACATTTAGGAAGTATCTTGAGTCCTGAAAATGAAGGGTCTCGTTCCCCCAAGATGTCCATCCAGCAAATAATTCTCTAGCAAATAGTTCAATACATCGAGCAGGCTTGGGCCCTGGTGCATAATCCAGTAGCAGCTCTAATAAAGTCAAGGAACAAGTTCTGTGACATCAAGGTTGAATAATGAATTTATGCGCCACTTGCAAGTGCAAATATAAACTACAAGTAAAATAAAAAATATACAATTAGTTGTGGAAGTTTGAATATCCAAAATTGGATTTCAAAATAATCAAGGGCTGGATACTTCCAATAGGTGGCTTCCTTGAATAATCACCGGGGACACTAATGATAACTTGGTTATCTTGCGGACGTTTAAATGCTGAATGATGGTCAGAAGCGACTTCCTGCAAAAAACAACAGCATAGAATATGAAAAAAAAAAAGAAAAAGACTTTAATCTGAAAGTAATTGCCTTCTATCAAAACTCAGTGACCCACCAGTTCACAAACTTACCTGTACATTACTGTAGCCCAGAAGAAGGCACTCATATGGTCTATGATGAAAGAGGTCCAAGTCACCAATCAAGGAACCATCCAATTTCACCTATTAATTACAAAGGAAATCCAGAGATCTTCAAATAACAATTTACGATTGGTTCCTTGAAGAAAAAAAAAAAGAAAAATCACCTTCAACCAATAAAGCCGAGCCACATATCTGACACCCCATATAGGGAACAATTCTTTTTCAACGAAAACTTGCAATTTCTCTCTATTGGTAATCCACAAGGCCACAAGTGCTCCTTCTGTATGACTGAGTTGCTTGATAGGAAGGGACAAAAAGTATCTGTTAGGCAACACTGAGTACCTGCAGAAATGCAACAAGCAAAAAAGTTGACCAGACTTTCACAAAGATAGAACTTGCAGACTTATTCAAGGATATATCTAATTTCAAAAAGAAACTCTTGAGCTAGTCCAACAATATCTGGATAATTAAGTATGAAACCTAAAGATGATCCTGTCAAATATTTCCCAGCAGGATCTCACTGTTTGGAACACCAACCCTATCTAATATATGGGCACTGACCAACTTTGCTTGCCAAAGAGTGTTAGTTATGATGCATGCAAGATACAACATTACTCATTTCTCAGTATTGAAGCACTGGACAAACCACAAAAAGTTCTTCAATAAATCCTCACAAGTTTCCTGAAGCTAGTAAGGATTCACATAGCCAGATACATACACTGATTTCTGATATGCACTTTTGTTTTCCCATGGTGGATCAATGACAATGAGATTGAAGCCATGATCAGATTGATCTGCAAAACAATTATTGGGCATTAAAATCAGAAGGTTGGATATTTTAATTAACAATTATGCCCCCTTTTGCAATATCTGCAAGAACAATTAGGAAAATTCTGGTTTCCAGTATCACTGAAAAGCAAGTCAAAGAAGCCATCAGGTAAACCCTATTAACAGATGAGCAAGAGCATGTTCATAAATATGCTTTTGCTGTATTTTTAATAGTGTACCTGATTACTACCTTGATCTCTAATCATAAGCAGAGGCAGGTTACACTTAGGAGCAGTTGGGTAGAGGAAAAGAATAGAGTTCAAAATTTCAACTTACCGGGAATCAGGTTGTGAATCTGCCCCAAGTCGGACTAAATTGTGAGATGAGGACAAAATAAATTGAATAGGGATGTAAGACACTCTTCATTGTTGATTAAGAAAAAGAAAGCAATATATTAAAGAAAGAAAATATGAAAGACAATGTTGTCTTGTCAACTTAAGTGAACAGATGCAAAGATGAAGAGGAAGACAGAATCAAGATTGACAACATTTTGGGAATAGGAAATCTGTTCTATGACGAAATTCACTTAAAAGTTATAACCTTGTCTTCCTGTCAAATTGGAAGCTCGTAAAATGAGTCAATTACATACCATGTAGAAGCAGCTCTCTCTGGGTATTATATACCATCTGGTATGGAATTCAGCCTCCAAGTCATCACTTGTCTTGTTAACAACTAAATTGTTAAATATGGGAACCACTTCCCTTTCACCACACTGGATGAGTGGCATACCTGTGTAGCCACAAAGACGAGAAGAGCTCATCATGAAACTGAAGTTCAGGATGTTAAAAAGTAGACAAAATTAGAACTTTCAGAGCACTTCAGTCAACTATTTACAGTCAAAACGAAGCATATGCTTGAAGAATTCTTGAAGTTTTTATTACCAAAAAAAAACTCTATCTATGCAAATACTTGGAAAGTGCACGAATGCTAAGAGGATATTGTTAGAAGAGAGAACCGAATAACATACAGTAACGGCTAAAGAAATGCTTAATTTCTAAGTCGAGAGACTGACCTCCGTCTTCAGTTTGCTTATCGTGTGGACGAAAATACAGAGACATTTCGTAGAGAGGGGCTTGCCACACCTTTCCCAGTTCAACGAAAGGCAGCAGTTCTTTACTTTCTACCGAAGATCTGCCGTCATTCTTTATGTCGCATAGGCATGATAGAAGATCCTTAACTCCTAAAAGAGCTTCATGTGCTCTTAACAGCAGAGGCCTTGCTGCCTGTCACAAAATAATCAACAACGGATGAAAGCAGGGAGAACCCTAAATTGGGATGGAAAGGAGCAGAGATAAGTACCAGATGACGTTGATGGGCAGACTCTTCTGTTTCGTTGCGAGGGAGAGACTTGGACTGTTTTCGTTTTCGTTTCCGTGAACTTGGAGAAGCCAGAGGTGTTTCTTCACGTTTAATATGCTCAAAAGAACGCGAGTAGTACGCGGCAGGAGAAACCCTGAAACGGGTGTAAGAAGAGTTGAGGATGCGAACGGGGTCGATGAAGATGGCATTAGAGCTTCTGAATCGATAAATTCCGGAATCCAAGAACAGAAAAAGTTCCTCATTCTTCTCCGGTTCCACCATTATGATTTCCAATACCCTACTCCACTCTACTGCTGTGCTACCGAAGTACTTGGAAGACGGAGGGGAGTTCTGAGATTGAGGTTTCCTCGCGCCAGAGACCGGATCTGCTCCTCACATAGGAAGCCTCACACGCTCATCCTATCGTGCATGCGGAACATCTCCCGTATTATTTTTCGCGGGGATGTTCCTAATGCACGGTGGATGTGCATGTGAGGCGCTATGTGTAAGGAGCAGATCCTGTTCCCACGCGCCATACCTTTTGACAAGCGGGTTTCTCTGACGAAGTGACCATGCACCTGTGAGCTGTGTATTGGGAACATCTCTCTATCAATGAAAAGGGAGATATTCCTAATGCGCAGCTGTTATCTCAGGTGGGTCAGGATGTGGGAACAATTAATGGATAGCGTGATGAGATCTGTTCCTCACAGGCACATCTACCGTGCATACTAACAAGTATGTGAGATGTTCCCAATGCATGATTGGATGTGYGTGTGAGGCGCTTGTGAAGCGCCAGGTGTGAGCAGATCCGGTCTCAATGGATAGCAGATCCTAGTCTTGTTGGGACATTTGTTGTGACACATTGTTTTGTTGGGACGTGATTCGGACTCATCTGAGATAATTTTATGTATCGTAGTTTGTAGACTCCCAAAAATTCTTCATGTTTCGTATTGCCCTTTTTAATTAGGTGGGATTCGGTTAGGAGATCGGCTTCAGCAAAGTCCGTTCGAACACTGTTTGAACAGCCTTTATAGCCTTGCATCGGGAATATCTCCCTACTTCTATGCTTTATTTCACGGGAAGATATTCCCAATGCAAGGCTATGATGGCTGTTCGAATAGACTTTGCTCTGACTGAATCCTGTTTCTTCGGTTAGGATGAATTTAAATTTCACGTTGGAATTGGGAATGTTAATTCCATGACCACGAGTCTCAAAACTTCGAGATCGGCTTCTATCAAGGCAAAGCTGTGCCCATACTGTTCTAACAGCCATTTTCACCCTTGCATTGGAAATTTCTCCAAATAAAATAAAGAATACAAGCATGGAGATATTCTCAATGCAAGGCAGTAAAGGGTGCTCGAACCGGCTTTACCCTGACTGAAGCCGAACTCCAAAACTTCGCTCTTTGGTTTACTTTTTGATACCACGCATTTCATTCTGTGCAGAATTGAGGCAATAACAGAATCCAGGTCCAAATTCTGCTCCCACAATCCAAACACAGAATCATTTCGGACATAGGGAGCTGAGATTCAAGGAGAGAAAAGGCCATTTTTACATTTTTTTTTTCTTCATTCATCTTTACCATTCTGGAGAATATAACTGGAACTGCCTCAGCGCAGTAGTTCTTGGAGATGTAACTGTTACACGCTGCCTGGTGCCTGCCCAGCATGAAACAAGTACAGCCACCGCACGATTTGAATCTTGAACATAGATGCTCTAAACTTCCACGATGTACTTGAGAAAATATGCATGTCCTTTTCTATTCTTGCACATTTTTGTTTCTTTCCCTTGTACATGATATAACTTAATGAAAATGAACAACCTAGTATGATATATACAACTTAATTGTCAAACATCTTAACATATCAATGGCTTTGATTAGCCATGTCAGCTTTCAATGTGGCAAAAAGGAACCAGTATAAAGGTGAAGTTTGATGGGAAAACTCCCATTGCACGGTCCTTCGGTCCTACCACATCCTTATCATCATCGCCTCAAAAAACTTTCTATATTTTTGAGCCAATGAATGATGAACATGGTAGGATTGAAAATTTCTCATCTGATCACCACTCAATGTCTTAACAGAACTCCTTGTCTCCATATAAGAAATGGAGAAGCTAAAATGGCATAAAGCACCAGTATTTCTTTCTGAGCTTTGACATCCTACTGACTACAGTCTTCCCTTTGCCACTAGATGCGGCTGGTAGGCCACTGGATGATGATGCCCTATTTTTTGAGCTTGTTGAAAGGCCTTGGACTGTATCCTGTACAATGGGCAGATGAAGCTCATGGTTTGATGACTCACTATTGGAAAGTTGCTGGACAACGGCTGAACCTGGAACTGAAGGGTCTGAGATAAGAATTGATCCTCTTGGCAGATTACTTCTGTTGCACCCAAGAAGAGAACCTGTTGACAAAGGCTATGGATTATATCTGCATCTGAAGAAAACAATAATTAATTAATCATTACTCATTAGCTTATGAGCTCAATCACCCAATATGCATGAAGAAAGATGAGAGGGGGAGAGGGACTCTCTCACGGGGCATTCAGAATCAGTTCAACTAGGAAGAGGACTGCTTAGTCTGCAGCCTCCTGGATGGCTATTGAATGTTTATGTGAAGGTCCTTTATCCCTTGTGATCTTTTCAATGAATCATCTTTCTTATCCAAAGAAACAAAGAAAAGGAGAAAACAAAGACCAAAAGAGTTCTTGGAATGACCCATCAAATTGTGGATCACTCCCCCTGCAACTGGTCCATCTCTTTTGTTAATAGACCAAAACTACAGCTTCCAGAATAAGAAATTAACATCTCTATTGAAATCTTGAACAGTTCAAACAAATATGTGTTTATACAAAATATCAGAAAAAGCAACATCAGCTGATCCTATATAGTCGGGATAAGACCTTGTTAAGTTGAATTGGTATCAGAAATAGCACGAGTATGGAATACTTCAGCCACCACATCAAAATACATAGGATATACCTGAAGAGGTTGGCCTGAGAACCATCTGATCAGATCTAAGAGATGGGAAGACATTAGGCTTGAAATTAGGATTGTTCTGCTGCATGCCTTGGTTATATCCAGCCTCCCTGTAATAAAGCCAATGAATCGAAGTACTCATCTGATGACATTGTTAAGAAACTTGAATTTTCTGAACTGGAAGAAGGAGATTCAGGATCAACAAGATCTTGCAATTCCAAGAAGTCCCCTCTAGAGAAATCATAGATCTCATGCGGCTCTTGAATGGGGTTGTTGGGCCTGTGTTCTGGAAAATGTCTCTCAGATACTGCCAATAGCCCATTCTCATCAACCCTGCCTGTCACCTGCACATGCATCAACAGAATGAACTATATAAATAGAGAGAGGACATAAATAAAGTAACCATTTGTTTTAAACCATACATATGTTGTAAGCAGTACACATGCTGAAGGAAACCATGAGCAAAATTGCAGCAAAAAGTAAAAGCGAAACAAATATATATATATTACTATAAACCTCAATCACCAAAACGTGTGATTTGTTAAGACAACATACTGAAAACAGATTTATGTAGAAGGTCCAAATTGTAGAATTTACCTACCTGAGAACTGTTTACAATTGCAGGATTTTGCCCATCATAATTGTTTTGCTCCATGTTTAGCATGGATGACAGCATTGAATAAGTATTGTCACCACTGGAATCATTTAAACTAGCTTGGCTCTGCTGAACTTCATGTTTTGGATTGTGACCGCTATTGAGGAAGACTCTACATAATGAAGTGGAATCCTGAAAATTGTACAGCCAAATGGACAATTGACTGGGAGATTGGGCTGAGAATTTAAATAAAGTAAAATGTCAGTTGAGAAGCTTATATATTTTTCTATTTCCAAGAAATACCTGTGCATTGTTGTTTCCTTTCTGATTTATCTTGTATTGATGCATCATCCAATTGGTTTTATTTCCATTAGGAGCTTGGCCTGTGTAGAATTCCAGAATAGTTTTACAAGCAGTGGTATGAGAATTACTAAGTATCCTATGATCCACTCCTGTAGCCTTCCAATATCCAATTCCTGTAGCTGCAGGGTCCTCCGAACTGAAGAAATACCAAACATGTTCTGCACCTAACATATATCTCATAAGATGTCTTCAAATATGGCCAAGGAGGCTCTGCCATGTTATTGTAGCAATCAAGAGAGAATAATAAGTATACTAACTGCCCTCAGTTGTCAGTGTTATGTGGACTCTCCTAGATGGATATAGTGTCTGTGTCACACACAGATAGGATTCTAGCATTGCATATTCTTTAAGGACATTTGTTGTGGATGCATTCGTGGGAAGAATTACCGCCGCCGGCAGCAGCAGTGAGGGGGGGCCACACAGCAGCTTATCTTGCCATGTCAGCTCTTCTTGCCAGCTCGCCAATAGTTTACTTATTCCAGTTCTGTTCTTACTTATCTAGTTCTGTTCGTACTTATCTATTAGAGATAGGAACTGAGTTCTGTTAGAAGTCTGTTAGAAGTAGGAGTTCTGTTCTTATTTATCTAGTTCTGTTCTTACTTATCTATTAGAGATAGGAACTGAGTTCTGTTAGAAGTCTGTTAGAAGTAGGAGTTCTGTTCTTACTTATCTAGTTCTGTTCTTACTTATCTATTAGAGATAAGAACTGAGTTCT